GCCCCCGCCCCCAGCCCGGCCCCCGGCCCCCGCGGCCCGCAGGATTCCGTCGCCTCGGTTGTTATGGAGACAGCTGAGCCCGTGAATGAGCGTCTGGGTGACACGCGCGCACCCGCTCCGCTCCGCCGGAGTGGCCGGCGCACGCAGTGAATCTCGCTGCCACAAGTTCGTGGAGGGAGGGAGGGGCCGACCCAAGTAGGGTGAGCTATCTGGGAGAGATGGGGACCCCAGACGTTGGGTTTATTCCTCTCACCGGCTGTAGAACTTGGTCTTAAAATCAAGAGAAGCAGAACAGCAAGAAAGTTGAGCTTACTGGGTGCCAGGAGCAGAGCGACCTAACTCTTAATGTGCAACTTCCATAGCATCCGTTAAATGTCTGAAACAAGAAGGGGGTGGGGGAAATGCGTGAATAGGTGATTAATACAAGAGATTAGAACCCTAGTGCTTGACTTTTCCCACCCAGTCAGATCTGAAGGGTGCTGAGGCAAGAACCAGGGCTGTCCAGTTACTGGACGCAGAGCAACGGAGCAGTGGGGGGAGGAGGGAGGGGCTCGGAATGGGGGCTTTGGATGAATACAGATCACCTCAAACACAAGACAGCTTGCCATGCTGGGGGAAGAGATCATCCCAACACGTCTCCAACTCTGAACTGAGTGGTTTTGTCAGCACAGGACCTTTGCCCTCTCTAGCAGTCAAAGAAGGCTTCCTGGAGGAAGGGGGCTTCAGCAAGTCCCTGTTCCTATGTATGTCTGCTCCATCACTAGCTTAGCACTGCTTGCAGGAAGTCTTCAGAAGGAAAGGGAGCCATCTCCTCCCTGGACTTGGGCACCCCCTCCTCTTGGCCTATCAGGGGGCCCTGGGCAGAACTGCCTCCTCCTCTCCAGAGAGAATCTGCCCTCCTGCTCCTCTGGCCACCTGGCTCTCCCTGACAGGCTTCAGCAGCTCTGACCCAGAGCCCAGCAAGGACATGGCTGGCAACAGGCTTCTCCTCCATGCTCTCATGGTAGGTCCTTCCCTTAAGGAACCATATGATGGCTCCTCATTTTTCATGCACAGTCGTGTGTCACCTCCTGACCTCCCACATATTCCATCCCAGCTAACGAACCCCACCACACTCAGTCACTTTCCACACCATTATTCCATTTTATTTGCTAGAATTAGTTTGAAAGTGTTCTGCCTTCCCCTCTAGGATGTAAACTCTGTGAGAGGAGAGCCCAGGTGAGGCCCACCCATTGTGATGCCTCCAGTCCAAGGAGAGCTCCTGCCTTGTGACAGACTCCCAAAGACGACATGTAGAATGGTGAATCCCTTGCCTGAAAGCAGAAGTCCTCTAGGATGCCTGGGAGTAAAGGCTCAGCGTGGCCCTTTATCTCCTTTCCCTGCCATCCACCCCACCCCATTCCAGGCAACATATCCTTAAATGTCTGAGACTCCGGGCGAGCTAGAAATATCTGTGACAGCTGCTTGCTGGGGTCTGGAGGCAGAGGCAGACCCCACCCCCACCTCCAGCCTCTTAGATGCCCAGGATCACATGCCTGGTCAGCTGCAGAGTGGACATGGAAGGTCAGGGGTGCCTTTCTTATTTGTGGGCATATCTTCCTGAGGCTCACTCCCACTGATGACTCATGCGTCAGAAATCCATGGGCTCTGAGTGGCGGTGCACACGTTTGCACCTATACCTCTACGCGACCGCACACACTCCCTGCCACACGAATTACACACTCACACACACACACACACACATACCCCTGCTGGTACGGGATCACTGTGAGCTGCTGCTGGGATCAGAACGCACCCGCAGACTCTGTAGGGACAAGATTCATTTCGCAGGAGTGTGTGATAAACAAGGCCTTTGGTAAGGTCTGCAAGCTGTGGCCCTCCCCTCCCCAGGGAAAGGGAACTGGAGCATGGGCTAGGCAAAGGGGTTCAGGTGAGGCCCCAAAGGTGGAGGACGGCATGGAGGTCAGTAGAGTCTAACTCCTGGTTCTGGGCAAAGCAGTGGGGAGACAGAGAAGGTCCAAGGCAGTGGCTCTGCAGATCAGGGCTGCTAATCCAGGGCAGAGCCATAGAAAGGGAGAGGCATTAGGGACCAAGGCAGGGGGCTGAGGTCAGGACAGAAACTTCCCCTGATCCAAAGGTTGAGGAGAGAATGAGAGTGTCAACAGGCCATATCAGGGTGAAGCAAGCTTGGCATCCCTGGTATGAAACGCAAGGAGGCACCCACTCTCACCTTGCACGTGCTCCAGGGCAAGAGTGAGCACCTCTGCTTCGCACTCCAGACCACCCCCCTAACCTTGCTCCAGCCCCCTGGGGAGCTCTGTATGCAGGAGAGAACCCCACTGTCAAGAATCAACTAGGTGCAAGTTTCTGGCAAGGTGCCCACCTAGAAAAGGTGGTGTGTGGCACGGGACCCCGAGAAGCTGAAAGTGACCCTTCTGATGGACCCTGTGCTTCAGACACACTTTCCTGGCAGTGGTCATGGTTAGGCCCAGCTCAGAGGATCAAGAACTCCAACACCCTTCTCCCTTCGGGGTGCTCAGCAGAATCTCCAGGACCCTGGAGATTTCCTTCACCAAGACCACGGCCAGGAGGCGGAGAAGTGGTCTGTGTAGACCTGAGGGCCCTGCCCAGCCCGTTCTCGAAGGGAGGAGGGAGGAAACCTGCCAAGGAGACGGGCTGGATGAAGTCACTGTTCTGGTGACTTCAGTGGAAGCTATTAATACCCTGAGGTGGTGCTTCAGCACCTATCACCCTGGCAACCCTGCTCCCCAGCAGTGAAGATCCTGAAGGCAGTGCCCGAAGAGGTGGGTGGCAGTGCACACGTGTGTGCATGTGTGGGTGCTCTGAGAGCTCACGCCACACAGCAGAGAGGGGGCGCCCTGTCGGGGTCAGGGCAGAGCCAGGCTCCTTAAGTAGGGAAATGCCATGCAAGTTAGTCTTGAACAAGACTCCGGGACTGGCTTGGTGGCTCTCTGTTAACTCATTCATAGATTCATCTGTGAATATTGAATATCTGCTATGTATCAGACACTCAGGGGTCATGTAGGCCAGGCAGCAGCTTTGATGCCTTTTCCTTTTCCCCTGCCCTCATTTTTCTCGCTTTTCTTCATCCCCCTTTTTCTCCCTCATTTAGACTTTCTATCCAATCTTCCTTCTCTGCTTCTGTCCACCCTCCACACTTTCCTGGTTCCATCTCTGCTCTTTTCGCTCCTTGCCCCGACTCCTGTTGTCAATCTCTCTCTTCCCCCTCTTCCTTGCTCCCCACACCCCCCAGATCAAGTCTTGAAGAGTCTCCCATGTTAATAAAATAATACAAACATTTGACTGAGAGTCTCCTTTCATGAGTCCCTGGATGCTGAGCCCAGGATCAGCTACCCACAGGCAGGCAGGCAGGCGTGGGGTTCATTTAGACCAACCTGGACTCTCCTAAGCCTGAGCACCCCTGTCAACAAAATGATGCCTCTCTTCCTGTTGAGAAACTAACCTTAAAATAGAGGACGCCACATGAGGATGTGGAGAAAAAGGAACTCTCCTGCACTGCTGGTGGGAATGCAAACTAGTACAACCACTATGGAAAACTTTGGAGGTTCCTCAAACTGCTAAACATGGAGCTTCCCTATGACCCAGCAATCCCACTCCTAGGTATCTACCCAAAAG